TGGGGGTGCTGGGGAGGGGTAAACCACTCTTGGATCAATTATGGGGTCCAAAAACTTCTCCTCTGCCACTCCCCAGTGCAGGGGCAGTAGCCAGAAGCTTGTTCCCTTGGCCTCTCTGAGAGTCTCAGGCTCTCAGGAGTCTCCCTCATGGGTGAGTGATGGTCCCTGAGACAGGGCAAGGAGCAGATTTTAGGAGATCTGCCACAGGGAAGGTCTCTGCCTGACACTGCCTCTGTTCCCCCACAGAGAAGGGCAACTTTCTGGTGGTAGAGCTGTGCCAGAACCAGGTTCGGACCATGCTGGTGACCCTCTACGGAGATGGAAACATGAGCCCCCACATGATGTACAAGATCTTTGACTTGCCAGAGGGCATCATGCAGGGCGAGGGGGAAGCGGTATGAGGAGGCCATGGCAAAGGGAGGCTGGTGCTGGGCTGCCCAGCATCACGGAGGTTCAGCAGGGCTCCAGGATGGTGCTGGAGCGCCAGGCTGCCTTCCATAGCCTGGGTACTGGGTAAGGTGAGCAGCCCTTACTCCTAGTCATGACTTTGCAGCTCTTTGACTTCATTGCACAATGCGTGTCCCAATTCCTGACTGAGACCATCAGCTCTGAGACCAGAGAGACCACAAACCTCCCCCTGGGCTTTGTGTTCCCCTTCACCTGCCGGCAGACACAGCTGGACAAGGTAAGGGGGAGAGGCCTGTCCCAGGCTGTGACCACAGCACAGCAGCAGTAAGGAGAGGAACCATCCTGGTGCCAGAGGTCAATGACTCTGCCACATGCTCTCCACAGGCAGAACTCCTCTCCTGGTCCAAGGGCTTCAGCTGCAGTGGTGTGGTGGGGAAGGACGTGGTGCAGCTGCTGCAGTCAGCCATCAATAAACAGGAGATGGGGTCCAGTGAGACGAATAGCAATTGGCTGTCCTCGTTGAGAGGCCGGAAATCCTCTCAGTTTACTCCTAGCCAGCTCTGCCACGTGGAGGTCGTTGCCCTGATGAATGACACTGTGGGCACCATGATGACCTGCAGCATGGAGGGGAGACCCTGTGAGGTCGCCGTGGTTGCAGGTCAGACTTGGGCACTGCATGTGCCATGGTGGTGGGTGTGGAGGGGCCGTGCTGGTGCTCAGCCCCGTCACTCCCCCAGACAAGGGGTCCAACTGCTGCTTCATGGCCGAGGCATACCTGGTGGAAACAGCAGAGGAGACCAGTGGGCGGATGTGTGTCAACACTGAGTGGGGCTGCTTTGGGGATGATGGCGTCCTGAATGACATCTTCACACCCTACGATGTACGCGTGGATGAGGAATCTTCCAACCGTGGGGAGAAGAGGTGCTCTTTCTCCCCCAGAAAGGACAGGCTCCCCATCTATCCTTGAGCATGTCAGGCCCCACCAAAAGGAGCACGCATTCCCCTGCAATGCTCTTGAGTGCTCTTTAAGGGCCACGGAGTGCTGCTACAGATGCATGACTGATTCCCATGTGGTCTCAAACCCACGCAGGTTTGAGAAGCTGGTGGGCAGCCTGTACCTGGGGGAGATTGTCCGGCACGCACTGATTGCCCTGACCGCTGAGAAAGCTCTCTTCACTGGGAGTGATATTGCTGTCCTGAAGGAGAAGGGAGTGTTCACAATGCAGCATGTTCTGGATATCATCAAGTGAGTGTCTGAGGACCAGGAGCTGCCATGGGAGGATGGGGTGTGATGGATGGGTGTTCCTGGCTGCGAGCTGGTGAACCTGCAGGTGCTGCAAGGCTGTGATCTGCCTTCTAGCAACGAGGACGGCATAACTGAAGTGAAGAGGATTCTGGAGACTCTGGGGCTGCAGCCAAGCGAGCGGGATTGTGGCCGGGTGCAGCAGATCTGCCAGGCAGTGATGGGGCGCGCTGCCACTCTCCACGCCACTGGGCTGGCTGCCATCCTCAGCTACATGTGCCAGACTCGGGATTTGGAGTCACTGATGGTCAACGTGGGGATGGAAGGAGAATTGTACAGGGGCTACCCCAGGTGATGAGAAACAAAGGGCTCCCAGTGGAGTGCTACCCCAGTGGGATGCCTCACACCCAGCCCATGCTATCTTCTTCATCCTTGGCAGGTTTGAGGAGATCCTGCTGAGTGTGTCGAGGCTACTGGCCCCTGAGTGCATGCCCACCCTCCTGCCCTCGAGAGATGGCTCTGGGCGGGGTGCAGCCATGGTGACAGCAGTGGCTTTGCGCCTGGCAGCCCAGCGCCGTGAGGTGAACGAGGTGCTGGCCCCACTACGGCTCACCCGTGCTGACCTGGAGAAAGTCCAGGCACTGATGAGGGAGGAGATGGAACGGGGCCTGTGCAAGGAAACCAATCCCACTGCCTCTGTGCGCATGCTGCCCACCTACGTTACTCACACACCTGATGGCACTGGTAGGGGACAGGGACACTGGGAATGGGGAGGCGAGGAGGCTGTGGCCCTGCTAATGCACTGTGCTGGCTCCCCACAGAGAGAGGTGACTTCCTGGCGCTGGACCTCGGGGGGACCAATTTCCGTGTGCTGGTGGTGCGTGTGACAGAGGAGGGCATCAGCATGGCCAGTGAGATCTACGTCATCCCGGTTTCCATCATGCAGGGCTCTGGCGAGGCGGTAAGGCTGAGGACCTGTGACCAGTGGCTGGGGAGACGGGGTGGGCATTGCCTCCCTACTTGCTCTCCATGGGGCCACAATGGGGCTGGGAGAGGTCCCCCAGCATTGCCCCAGCCTAGGCCATGCTGACCATGGCCACTATCCACAGCTCTTTGACCACATCATCGACTGCATCATAGACTTCCAGATGAAGCAGAACCTGGTGACACAGATGCTGCCCCTCGGTTTCACCTTCTCCTTCCCCTGCCAGCAAGTGGGCCTGGATAAGGTGAGGGGGTGGCTCCAGCATCAGGACAGTGGGAAGGACTCCAGGATGTGGTGGGAGGCAGCTGCCCTGGCCCCTGCTCCTGCCACTCTTGCAGGCATTGCTGCTGACCTGGACCAAAGGCTTCAGTGCCTCAGGCTGTGTGGGAAAGGACGTGGTCCAGCTGCTGAGGGATGCTGCCCAGCGTAAACAGGTAAGGAATGTCTGGTGGCCTGGCCCTGTCCCCAGGGTACACCCTGCATCCAGGCAGTCTCAGCCCCTTGAGCTGTCTGGGTGACACTAGACTACATGTGTCCCCGTCTCCTGTTTGACAGCACTTAGGGATGCAGGTGGTGGCTCTGGTCAATGACACAGTGGGAACCATGATGGCTTGTGGTTACGATGACCCCAAATGTGAAATCGGCCTCATTGTGGGTGAGGAGCACCTCTGCATCCAGGAGGTCCCCCCTCTCCTCACCCCCACTCTACTCCATGTGGCATGGCCACATGCCTCTGCCAGAACTGTGATGGGGGTGACACCAGCATGGGGCCTGCAGGGACAGGGACCAATGCCTGTTACATGGAGGAGATGAGGAACGTGGGCACTGTGGAGGGGGACCAGGGCCTCATGTGCATCAACATGGAGTGGGGGGCCTTCGGGGACAACGGCTGCCTAGACCACATCTTCACCCACTTCGACAAGGTGGTGGATGAAACCACCATCAACCCGGGCAAGCAGAGGTGGGTGTGGGCCCTGGGGCAGAGGGGGCTGGGAGCGGGTGGCTGTGCCTAGCTGAGGCTGTGCCTTGGGTAGGTTTGAGAAGCTCATCAGCGGCATGTACCTGGGCGAGATCGTGCGTCAGATCCTGATGGTAATGGTAGAGAAACAGCTCTTGTTCAAAGGCAGACCCTGCCCCAAACTTCAGACCAGGAACATCTTCAAGACCAAGTTCCTCTCTACTATTGAGCTGTGAGTGTTTGGCTCCCGTGGGTTCCCTGAACCTGGGGTGGGGGTATCAGAACCCCAGGAGAGGAGCCAGGCTACAGTGATGTGGCACAGGCAGGATGATGCTTAAGGGAGGGGGATAGTGATGGGGATGGAGACTCTGCTGCTAACAGTGGGACTGGTCTGGAGCAGCAACGGGCTGGCCCTGCGGCAGATACGGGCCATCCTGAACGAACTGGAGCTCGATGCCAGCTTTGAGGACAGCGTGCTGATGCGAGAGGTGTGCCAGGCTGTGTCCCTGCGGGCAGCCCAGCTCTGTGCTGCTGGCTTGGCTGCTGTGGTAGAGAAGATGCGGGAGAACCGGGGCCTGGACCAACTGGATATCACTGTTGGGGTGGATGGCACCTTGTACAAGCTGCACCCATGGTGAGTGGGGCCAGGGGTAGCAGGCACCTGTGAGGCATCCTTGCCCTATGAAGGGGTCTGTGGTGGGAGGCATCAGTCCTCACCCTCCCCTTCTGTCCTACCTAGCTTCTCCAACAACCTCCAGAAGACACTGAAGGACCTGGCACCCAACTGCAATGTGACCTTCCTGATATCAGAGGACGGCTCGGGCAAAGGGGCTGCGCTCGTGGCAGCTGTGGCCGATCGTGCTGCCAACGCCATGCAATAGCCACCATCCCAATAAAGCCCTTTGGTCTGCACTTCCAACTTCTAGGGGGATCATGAGGGGCATGGGGCAGTGCATGGCTGGGTGTAGCCCCACATAGCAATATATATCGAATTTATTTACATTCACGTCCGGCAGACCCCCCGCCCGCGGCACCGCTATGTACATAAGGCCAAGTGTAAATACTTGAATGCACTTAATACAGAATTAAAAAAACGGGCTTTACACAACACGGCACTGGGCCCGGGGCCACCTGGCCCCACACGCAGACAGCACGACGGCACCGCACGCACGACGCACACCCAGTGCCCCCCCAGTCCCCCACCGTGGGGCTCTGGGACCCCCGGGGCTGGGCTGAGTCCCGCTGCCACAGTGCTGGAGGGGTCTGGCTGCCATGGGGCAGGGGCATCCTGCCCTCCCAAGGGGGCCAGGCAACCTCCTCATGGCGCTGTGGGCCAGTAGGAGCCTGGTGGGCCAGCCAGGGCCCTCCTTAGCCCCATGGTGGTGGTCCCCTGCAACCCGCCATGCTCAACACTCGGCCTCGGAGAAGAGGGCACCGTCCTGCTTGCCGACCTCGGCCACGGCAGCAGCCAGCTGGGAGAGGTTGCCATTGGGGAAGTGCCGCGCTTCCCACAAGTTGAGGATCATGGCTGTGGGGCTGGCCTTCGAGGCGAAGAAGCTGAGATGGCTGGAAAGGGGACAGAGGGACCATGTCAAGGCACAGGGATGGATCCACATCCTATTACCAGCCCCCTGCTAGCCTCACCTTGTGCAGCAGCCCTCTCCCAGGATCCCACAGCATTCCAGCATCCATCCATAGGTGCAGGATGAGGCCAGAATCCCTGCCCCCATCCGCCATGCCACCCCATCCCCAGCACTGTCCTCAGTCTGCATTACCTGTCAAGGTTGAGCTTTTGTGCCAGTGTCCTCCAGTCAGCTCCCCGTGTGCCCGGCGGGTCCAGGCTGCTGATGATCTTTTGGCGGATGAGGAAGGGGATCTTGAAGGCACTGGGGCCCACCAGAGCCGGGGTGCCCACCTCATCAGGGACCAGCCAGTCTGAAAACCTCGTGTCCTAGGGGAGGGCACAAGCAGAGAGGGAAAGGAATGTGAGGCAATCCTATGGCCACCCCCAGGAGTGGCCCAGTCCTATCCTCACCTTGGCGATGTTGAAGTTGACGGTGAAGCTCTGCCCGTCTCCCTCCACCTGCCAGACCCAGATCTTGCAGGCCAGCTCACAGGTGCTGGTGCTCAGGCGCTCCAGGGTGAAGGTGCAGTGCAGGAAGGGCTGCAGCCCACTCCAGATGTGGTAGAAAGGGATCTCCTGCAGTGGGGTGACAGAGCTGGGGGTGTCAGAGTGGCAGGGACACCTCCCTACACCTCTATCCCCATCCCCATCCCCACACACTGGCCAGACTCCTCACCTGGTAGCTGGCGAGGAGCTTGCTCTTCCAGAGGGAGCTGGGCATATCGTGGATAGAGAGGCGCAGGTTGTGGTAGCTGTCCTTGAAGTGCAGCACCCGCGGGGCTCCGATCAGCTGCCCTCCCAGCTGCTTCTCCAGCTGGATCACCTCCTGCCAGCACAAGCAGCAGTCAGGCAGGAGATGCCGCACACCAGGAGCGCAGCTCTTACTCCAAACCGGGATGGGCAGGCTGGGGACCCCGGTACCTTGAGCACGTCCTGGGTGTCACTGAGGCAGTACACACGGATGTTGTACTCGAGCGAGGGGCAGGCGGCCGGCGCGAACAGGACCAGCTTGAGGCGCTTGGAGGCCGCCATGCTGAGGGACTCCCCGACCAGGGCGAAGCGCCCCAGCTGCTCCGTGAACACGTAGCAAGCCTGCGCTTCCAGCTGGCAGTAGTACAGCTCCGTGCACGGCTCAGCGCCCAGCTGCAGCACGTCCTGCGGCACCCAGGCAGAGATGCACCTCAGCCGTGGCTGTCCCTCCTCCATCCCTGAAACCCCTCGCCCCTTCTCACCTCCCACGTGCCCTCGCACGACTGCTTCTTCAGCCGGATGCTCCAGTTCTCAGCACTGGCTTCCACGCAGTGCCCCATGGCCAGGATGGCAGGGCGGGTGAGGAGGACCCCGGGGGGGCCACAGCTGACGATGGGGCTCAGCAGCGTCTGGCAGCCAGCTAAGGGCAGCCTGGGGCAGCAATGGGGGCGGCTGAGTCAGGACAGAACCCCCTCCAATAGCCCTGTGCCCCAGCAGCCCCAGCACCTACCTCACCTCCTCCTGCTTGTGCAGAGTCAGGTAGACCTCATAGATCTTCCCCCGTGGGATGGCATCAGGTGGGATGAGCAGGCTGATCCCTGGGTGGGAATGGGGGTGCAGGTAGGGGGTGAGCCTCATGAGGACCCTTCCTGGCCTGGGCAGTGCTCTGGAGTCCCCACCCCACTGTACCTGTGTTGGGGATCATGAGCCGCCCCCCCAAGAAGTTGAAGGTGCCATAGGCCATGTTGTTGGTGCCACGGGGCAGGGAGCGAAAGTAGCTCTGTGTGGAGAGCCGGGCCACGAAGTCAGCACCCTCGGCGGCGGGTGAGCTGTGGTGCAGCGTGTGCCTTCCAGCACCCAGCGGGCTCAGTAGGTGCCCGTTGGGCAGCTGGAGCTTGGCAGGGCCGTCCTGGCGTGGGCAGAGCGAGCCCTGGTAGGTCATGGTGGTGGTGCTGAGGTCTGGCTGGATGGTGAGCAGGCTGGGGTTGTCTGCAGCACAGAGCAAGCGACCGTGGCGCCAGGGCAAGGCAGAAACAGGGGGTCCCCACCAGGGGTGCATGGGCACAATCAGCTCGAGAGGGCATGGGGTACACAGTTCCTGCCCCATAGTGAGGACCCCATAGGGCAGAGCCACCACCCCTGAGGATCTGATCCTATGTGGCATAGAGCACTGACCCCACAGTTGGGGGCTCTAAGATACAGAGTCCCTGTCTCTAGGTCAGGGATCACATAAGGCAAAGAATCAACTCAAGACCAGGGATCCCACAGGGCACAGAACTCCACCCAGGGATGCCCTGTAGCAGACAGCCTGTGCCCAGAGACCCCCTGGCAGGTACGGCCACCTGCAAGTCCAAGGGACACCGTGTCCCAGTGTGGGTGCACTGTCCCTGCAACACTCACTCACCAGCCTTGCTGGGTTTGATGCTGACGGGCTGGAAGCCGGCAGTGAGGATGGAGGAATCGGCCACATCAGCGTCCAGGCCCCCCTTCTTGCGGCAGTACACCAGCACCCCCACCAGCAGCAGCAGCACCAGGCACACGGCCACGGCCACCAGCCCCACGTACAGTGCTACATCCTCTGCGCCGGAGGTAGCTGCGTGGGGCAGGGCATCAGCACTCATGGTCACATCCCGGCCCCCTCTCCCAGGAGACAGCCCTGCCATCCCCACCGTGCTCACCGTGGGTGCAGAGCTCGGAGGTGCAGTTGCGGGTGTCCAACTCGGGACCATGACAATCCCGGCCTCCGTTGCGTGGCGCTGGCTCCGAGCACTCGCGGCTGCGCCAGTGGGTGCATTCGGCCCCGCACTCCGACCACTTGCTCCACTCCGACCAGGCGCCGTCCACTGCAGGCACAGCTTGGGGTCAGCGCCCTGCTGCCACCCCCCTTCCCTGCCCCGGGGCCGGCAGAGACGGACACACAGGGGAATCGGCGGACAAGACATCTGGTGGGGACAGGGACTGCAATGGGCGCAGTGGGGAGTGCAGCATCGGCACGACGGGGCGGTGGCGGTGCCCCGAGCAGGGCAGGTACCTGGGCAGAGGGTGGTGCAGGCGGTTTTCTGCACATTTTGGCCCTCACAGAAAGCACCCCCATTGAGGGGTGTGGGGTTGGTGCACGTCCGGCTCCGCTTCTGCCAACCCCGTCCACAGCTGGTGCTGCAGCCTGACCACTGCGTCCACGTCGACCAGCCGCCGTTCACTGGGTGGAGAGGGACCGGTCAGCGCCCTGCCGCTAAGGGGACGCAGGGAGGGACAGGACAGGGAGAGTGACACCAGGGCAGCGTGTTGGGGACTGGCGTGGAGGGGCCATACCGTAGACAGTGATGGCAGCAGAGGCGCTGCGGCGACGGGCCACGATGTTTTTAGCCACGCAGGTGTAGTTGGCAGTGTCGGCCAGGCGGGCCTGACGCAGCACCAGGCTGTGCTCTGGCGTCACGTAGACGTTGGCATCCAGTTCTGGATCCACCAGCTCCTCATTGCGCAGCCACTCAACCTGTAGGGCACAGGGACGTCACTGGGTGCCTGCCTGGGATCGCACACATCATCACCCTGGGCGAGGGGTATCCTCAGCCATATCCCGTCCTGCCCAGCTGGAGGGACCAACCTCGGCCGGGGGGATGCCCTCGGGCGGGCGGCATGGCAGCACGATGCCCTGCTCAATGGAGACCTCCCTGGCTGTCGGCTCCTGCTCGAAGTTCTTGCGCAGATCTGGGGAGGCACAGGGGTGAGATGGGGGCCCGGGCCCAGCGCCCTGCACTCTGTCCAGACACCTGCAGACACTCACAGGCGATGCGCACGAAGGCTTTCTGGCTCTTGGTGGTGCCGGAGGAGCTCCAGGCTACGCACTGGCACCAGTACTCCTCCAGCCCAAAGATCTTCTCCACTTGCTGGCGGGTGACCTCGATGCGCACTTCCATCACTGGTAGCCCTGGGACCCGAGAGTGGCACGTCACACTGGCATGCCGGGAGCTGTCCCCATGTCCCCAGCCCCATGCAAGCTCCGCCGAGAGTGGCACACGTGGCTTCCCAGGAGCGGGGCTGGCACCGCCCCTCTTGCTGGCGCTCACCAGTGCTGCGGTCGGTGCTGTGCTGCGTAACGTGGTCACCTTGGTGCACCCACTCGCCATTGCACTTGAAGTAGATCTGGGTGGCAGGGGTAGCTCGGCAGGCCAGGCTCACTGCCTTGTTCTTCACAATGTAGACATCCTCCGGCTCCAGCTGGAAGTGCGGCAGCAGGTCCGAGGATGCACCAGATGCTGGGTTGGCCACAGTCGCGCTTTGCTGAGCACCTGTGGGGAGATGGGGCTCGGCCACCTCCACGTGCCCTGGCTGGGACATCACCCGCGGCGGCACAGCCACATGCCAGTGGCTCTGTGCCTCGCCACTGTCCCCTCCACCAGCAGTGCGGCAGCCCTCTCCCACCCTGCCATCCATCAGGGAAAGCAGCCACGCAGTGGCTGTGCCCGCTGAACCCTTGCCGATCCCTCATGTCCACACTTAGCACTAATGAAAAGGAAATGTAGTGTGACCAACAAGGGCCATCGCTCACGCCTCCGGGGCGCCTGCCACCCCCTTCTTCAGTACGCCGTGAGGCACTGACCAGGGGCCGCATCCTGCCCTGCTGCACCCCAGAATGACACAGGGATGCTGGGCAAGCGGTGGTGACACGGCAGGGTGGCACAGCAGTGCACCCTATCCTGTGGCACTGACACCCACGCTGACATGGCACATGGGGGCTGGCTGTCCCCAGGGTGGTGAGGATGGCTCAGTGCTACACACACATGCCCCCATGGAGATATGACACATGGCACAAGTCCCACGACATCCACGCCGCCCAACCCAGACATGGCCAGGTGCCTCTTCTCCCCCCACCCCGCCGGTGCCTACTGCGGAAAGAGTTAATAAACCAGGGCCCTAAATAAGCATTTGATTAACAAACGATAAAATAGCGATTGTGTCACTGAATGAAGCTGTAATTGCTACTGCTAATTGGCTGGTTAGGATTTAATAAGCAATTAAATGGGATGGAATGCGCAGTAATTAAGTACCTTCGTTTGGCAACCACCAGCCACTCCCTATGTGCCCATGGGACCCCACTGCCTGTGCCCACCCCGACTGGCTCCCGCCTGGCACGGCCGCCTGCGTGACGGGAACGCGAGCGACACAGGGCTCCCTTGGGCTCTGCCCGAGTCCCCCAGGGAGGCTCCAGGCCCTGCTGCTCCCCCCAGCTGGCTCAGACCCCTCAGAGCAGGGGAGTGGGTGCCGACGAGCCCGCCGCGATGCCCGCCGGGACGGGCAAGGTGCGGCAGCTAATTTACGCGGGGAAGATAAACGGCGACTATAACGCGCCGGTTATTACCCCATCAGCACTTTTACAATGTCACTGGCAATTAATTTAATTAAAACTCCTGTCGGGGATATACAGGCATTTCATATTTCACTGGTTTAACGACCCCCCCAGCCGCAGCCTGAGGCCGGCCCGGGGGTCACGGCACGGACAGGCTCTGCGGTCCCCGGCGCGGTGCTGTCCCTGTGCCGGCTGCGGCACAGCTCGCCGCATCACCCGCGGGTCCCATCGCTGTGCCTGCTACTCGGGCACCCTGGGTGCCCGCACTGCACTAGCCATGCTGGCACGTGGGCGCTGGGTAAATAAACCCAATTTATTTATGAAATGCCATGTTTGCTGTTGCACAGCATCGCGGCTGCCTCCCGCCCGGGCGGCTGTGGCAGACGCGCCGGGTGAACTGTGCTGCGGGACCAGCTTTTTAATCACACGTGAAATGAGTACAGCGATTGCCGAGCTGCGTGTCTATCCATCACGGCTGAGTGGAGGGGCGCAGGAAGCCTGGGACCAGCAGCAAGGCATGGAGGATGCAGGATGGGTACGGAGCCCCCCCAGCTGCCCACCCAAGCGTGCTGCTGGGTGCCTTGTGGACGGGGCGGGGGGGAGCATGAACAGCAAAAAGAGCTGGGGATGTGCAGTGAGCGGCAGAGCCGGCGTGCTGCCCAGCCCTGGATGTCCTGCTGCTGAGCGCCGTGCCAGGCACTGATGAGGCTCTGTGCTGTGGTGTGGGCATGGATGGAGCCATGGGGCACAGCCAGGAGGCTGGAGCTGGCATGGAGCTCCATGAGGAAACAGAGGGACTGTGGTCTGGGTGCCCCACGCACTATAGGCACCCCCTCCATGACGGGTACCCTATACACCGTGGGCTCTGCACGCACTACGAGCACCCCACGCACCCTGCGACCATCCAATGGACCATGGCCACCCTACGCACCGCAGTTACGCCAAACACCTCGGGGATCTCATGCACTGTGGGCACCCCACACTCTGCAGCCACCTCCATGCACCGCGGGCCCCCCATGTCCTATGGCACCCCCCCCAGTGTGGCACCCCCAGCCCGTGGGTGCGGGCCCAGCGTGGGCGCCGTGTGGGCAGCGGCCCCCCACGTGGCGCGTGCCGGCTCCCGCATCCGCCTCGCGCTCACCTGCCGCTGCGTTGTCATGGAAACAGGCGAGATGCTTATGTCACCTTGGCAAAGGGAACCGGGGAACTTCGGCGGGGACGGGGAACAAGCGGACGGGGTGTGGGGGGGGTCGATGGGTTCCACACACCCCTCGCCCCCCTCCTCACCGAGGCAGGGCACAGCCTCGGCTGCTCTCCCTGCAGCCAAAGGGGTTTCTGGGAGCACAGTTTGTTCCAGCGCCGATAAATCTCAGCCGGTAAAGTCGGTGCATTAAGCAGGGCTTTAATATCAATTATCCCCCCGCAGGAGTGGTGCCTGATGGAGGGGAAGGGTGGTGGGCTGGGAAGGAAGTCTGCGACACCCACCTCAGGGTGCAGAGGGGATGGGGACACCCCGCTGTGAGCTCTGAGCACCCGCCCCTGCCTTCATCACAGCACTGTGGGACCCCCAGCTGCTCCTACCCCCCATGTGCAGAACTCCCCCTGTTCCCTGCCACCACAGGTGGTCACACAGCCTCTCACTATAGCACCTGGGCGCCCCAGCAGCAGAGACACCAGGTGTACTGGTGTTACTGGACAAGGAGAGACCGCAGGACACTGCACTGCACACTTTGGGGGGAGGGAGGGGGGCACGGACAGAACACACCAAGCTCCAGTGGATGTCTCAGTATGGTCCCTCTGGTGCTCAAGGGGCTGATCCTGCCTGGGTGACGGTGCCAAAGTCCCCAGTGGTGCCGGGAGCAGCCTGGTGGGTGCCTCTGTACCTGCCGCGGGGAGACACTGAGAAGGTCAGCGTGCTCTTGGCGAGGAGAGGCTGCCCGCCGGTGGCTGCGGCAGTGCCAGCCCCAGCACCAGCACGGCCGGTGGATGCCCACTTCACTGGCAGGGAGCTGCCTCCAGTGAGACAGTGCTCCAGTGCCACGGTTGTCTGAACACTGTTGCCTACCACATCAGCCACCCTCGACAGGACATCCCACCCATCTTCCCTCTGTTCCCATCACCTGCATGCTCTCCTGCCTGCTGCTGCCACTCTGGGGGCTCCCACAGCAGCGTGGGGACCTCAATGCCAGCACCTGCCTCCACCACTGTGCTCCTCTGTGGACCTCCCCGAATCCCCGTGGGCTTTGTAGCCGGCAGATTCGCTCCCAGCTGGTGCCCCATCCATCGTGTCTGTGCCAGGCCTGGCACACCATTAACATGAAAGATTTCCTCGCACTTTGCCGGCGCTCGGCCTGCGCCCCAGCAGCAGGTAATTAAAGCCATAATTGCTGCTGATTGCTCCGGCCTTAACGAGGGAAGAGTGGGCATCAGAAGGAGGGTAGAGGGTGCTCATCTGTTTCCAGGGGAGCCTGGGGGTGCCAACCCTGCATGCAGGGGTGCCCGTCGCTGGCACTTTACTCTCTGCAGGGTGCAGAGAAGGGAACTGGCGCAACTCGCCACAATCAAAAAGCTCGTCTGAGGCTTTGAGTTGGGCACCATCCTGCTGGAAGAGGCTGGGTCTGAGCCAAATGAGCTGGTGCTGTCCCTGGGAGACCCCTCAGCCATGGGCCCCAGCATCACACAGCACTGCCCTGCTGCTCTGACCCTCACCTGAGGCATCAGAACATCAGCAAATGCTTCCCTTGCACCCACCTCTCCAACCCCACACGGTCCCACAGCAACGCCAAGCAGGTGCCAGTGCCAGCGTCGGCTGGGCAAAGAGCCAGCAGGTCGGATGCCAATGCTGGGCAGCAAGACCTGGCTCCTGGCCAGCCTGGCGCGTGCTGAGCACTGGGGACGATGCGACTTACGGCACATGATGCCAATGCAGCCTCCACGCTCCAATGGACACCGTGTTCCTGGGGGTGCCCCTGCTGCCATGGGACCGTGTCCCCAATTTTCTGGCATATCCCCACAAGCTGGCCATTGTCTGGGCCCCTCAGGCGTGTGGCCCACGTGTGCCAGCCCTAAGGCCACGGGGGAGGCTGGGTGGAGGTGCCTGTCTCCCGGTGAGTGCCTGGCAGCGTCTGGGTGCTGATGAAGCGAGTGCTGGTTGTGAATGAATTAGGCGGGTTTGCATGACAATGGAGCTGCCTAATTACGGATTTGAGCTGATATTGCTCTCCCCATTACATGCAATTAGCATGTGCCAGGGCGGGCAGGGCTCCCAGCGCCCGCCCAGGGCTGCACGCCCTGGCTATGCCCGCATGTGACCCACGCTGCACCATGCCCGGAGTCTGAGGACAATGGTGCCAGGGCCACCAAAGACAGCCGTGGGTGGCAGCCCCTCCCCAGGGACCACCTCTGCCTGCTTGAGGGCTACCAGCCCCGGCATCCAGTGTTGAGCATTCTTCTCCATGCACACACAGAGCCGGGGCTGAGAGGGGACATGTTCCCATCCAGCTCTGGGTAGCTGAAGAGCCCCACAGCCCCCTGAGCCTCTGTGCTGGCAGGACTCTTGCCAAGACCTGCCAGCCCCTCTCAGCAGCACGGCATGGGGAAGGGGTCCCGTGCTCAGTGGAGGATGAGGGGGTCCCCCAGCCCAGTCCAGCACTGGTATGGTGGGGGGCACAAGACTGGCCCAGTGCAACGTGTGGGAACTGTCGCTGGGGTCTCGATCCCGGGAAGCCGAGTGGGTTTCCGGGCTGTCCTTTAACTGACAGCGAGGAGCAAAAGCTCTGGCCAAGCCCTGGCCCCACCGGGAGAAGTGTCAAGGTCACGCTCAGTCCTTCATCCCACCGGAACAGGCAGGAGACAACAATCCCAGGTGTCAGGATCCAGCCCCACAGTCTCTCCCCTCTCACTCACAGGTGTCACCCAGTGGTGATGGCAGCCCTGGCACCTCACAGCCCCATGGCAACAAGGGCTGGCTGAGGGTCCCGGGACCTGAGAACCCCATTCTGCAGAAGCCCCAACAGAGCAGGGACTGAGGGGCCATGGGGAGCCACCTGCCTGACATCCCCCCAGAAGCAGCACCCAAAGAACAGGC